TCCTGCTACGGTCTGGTTGGCTTGCCCGGGGGATGGGGTACTTCTTATAGGACTGAAATGCAGACTGGAGTCCGCAAGAACCTGAAGGAATTCTGCGAAGTGTCGGCAGCAAGTCGGCAGTCTACGGTGCGACAAAACTTATTTCATAGAGTGGAATTTCGCGCGACCGCGGGGACCGCGTCCGTACGTCCGGGTCAATTTTGAAGGTCGTGCTCTTGCAGGGTCTACCCAGGAACAGATGGGTAGACAAATTTGACTCGGACGGTCGCGGGAAAATCAAGGGTTTCCCACAGCCTGCCGGCAAGAGGACCTGGACCTGGCCGGCCGAGATGGGACTCCGGCCCGGTGCCGAAGGCACCCCCGGCGCTGGCTGCTAGCCGGCAAAAAATGCAGGCACTTGCCGGGCAGGCTCAGCCGGCCGGTGCAGTCAAAGACCGACTATCGAGCCGGCTGAACCCGAGGGGCGCCGGCAGCTGGCCGGCCGGGACAAAAGTCCGTGGGAAACCCTGGGGAAAATCACTAAATAAATCCTGGTCGCACCGCAGACTGGCCCCACACGACAGAATACCTAATAAATGGGAAGGTTGTCGGACATCCAGTCTGCATTTCAGCCCTGTAAGGAATGGTCGATTCCCCGGGCAAGCAAATCTGGACCGCAGCAGGACTCTTTCTGGCGTCCAGCCTGCCCGGCTAATCGTGCTTGCGAATCACCGGGGCAAAAGATAGGCGCCTCAAGTACCCGGTTAATTTGTAAGCCTAAGGTCTGAACCGGGCAATTGGGACGCTAGGAACAGCACTTGTATAATTTTGTTGCCCGCGCGGAATCCTGGGAATCGGCCATTACGGTTACCCGGGGCTGAAATACAAGGGCTGAAATACAGATTGGATTTCACAACAACCGTTAGCAGATTCTGCTGAGTGTCGTCGAGTGTCGTCAGTCTGCGGTGGTGACACAAGATTCTGAATATTTGTAGAGTGAATTTTCGCGCGACCGCGGGGACCGAATCCGACTCAATTTTGATCGAAGGTCGTGCTCTTGTAGCGTCTACCGAGAGAGCAGCAGGCTACCTACATTGGCTTGCCTCTTCCTCTTGGGGAGGGGAACCTACGGAATCGGGCTTTCAATTGGCGCCCGGCAGCCATTCGACCTGCCAATGATTTGGCTCGGTTCGAAAATAAAGCGTACAATGAACGTGCAGTGAACGAATGTACACGTTTGCCAGTATAACGGTGCGAGATTTTTGAAGTAGGCCTCCCCGTGCAGCGCAGTTGCGGCTTCCGAAGCGAACAATTACGTCGAAACGCTGCATGGTGCCAGTCTCGAAGTCGACCTAAGTTCATGCATGTTGGAGGTCTTCGACGTCGAAATTTCGCGCTTGCTCGGTTGGCTGTTCTCACGAGTAAGAAATCTACACCGTAAAACAAAATTCGCCATGATTATCTGTCGACTGCGATTGTCAACCGTTGATTGCGATTTTAATCGAGGCCCGAAGAGGCAAGCCTTTGCCCTCGCACAGACGGCCACCCATGAACCCATGTTACCTAACCTAAAGCGGCTGTCGTCGAACCGAGGGGGTGGGGGGGGGGGTGCGACCCGGCTCATCGGAAGTGGCGGGCAAAAGGGCAGATCACGACGCGCTCGGTTGTAGTTACCGGTTAACTTTTGCGACCAGCACCCGCAATCTTGCCAATCTATAATATCGGGCAATGTAATCAAAGTGCTGACGTGGCATGATTTGCCGATGATCGTCGAGATCGTGAAATTCAGACAGATGACACTTCAGGGATAGTAAGCTTTAGGAATAGTAAGCCCACCAGCCTGGGACGGGTAGGGTTAATTTGGGGATCAGGGTGGGTACGGGTGCGGAGCAAGTGGGTTTTGTAGGTTACGATTTTAGTATTTGGTTTGAGCTTACTGTTCTTAAAAGCTTATTCTTAAAGTGTCGCGTGATTGAAATTCAGACTGCGATCGGGCGCACCATTTTGATATTCTGAACACTATAAATGGCCGCTCCCGCAGGCCCGCAGGCAAATGCAGCATCAAATCTTAATCAAATCTGGCGAGTTCAAGTTTGTTCGCCAGGAATAGGCCCCGCTGCCCGGACGCGCTCCTCTGTCCAGCTTCAAAAACCAGCAAAAGCAAGCCTGTGAGCGTAAGGACGATGACGTTAAACCTTGTAGGAGCGAAAACAGCTAGTTTTGAGGGCTGAGAAAACCTGCGCCCTCTATGTGGCGACGGAGCTTGGCACCGCCAGCAAAGGGCATGACTTTGCCAAGCTATATGGTAGACAAGAGCTATTTTTTTAGTGCCAAATGCTAGGGCCGAAAGCTGTCCATGCCAGGTAGTGCCCATATAGTAACACGTGGCGCAGAATTGCCACGTGCGGCAGCGATACCAGGGCGAACCGCGGCCGGATTGGGAGGCTGGCGCGCGCGCCGCAATTAGAGGCAAAGGGTAGGCCCCTTATGTCTGGTTAGTGGTAAAGTACCAAGATAACCCGGCCGAGACTAGGGTACGATACTGTAGCCCATGATTGAGACTTGTGCACCGGCCGAACATATAAGGCCGAGGAGAAGTGATCCTTTCACTTCTCTTTGGCAAGTCTTCATAGCTAGGGCGCACCGCGCGAATAGGGCGCTTGATGTTCGCAGAGTAGCTCCTTGGTGACATTGACCGCGGCTTGGACCTGTGCGAAGAACAACCTTCTTTTCAAGCGAGTTCGGAGCGGTGCTGTCGACTCCCATGTGTGCGCTCGATTGGAACCGAAGCCAGAGGTAAGAGAGAAGCGGAGCACGAGTGCCTTTCAATATGCATGCTGCATGAGAAGGTAAAGCTGGTCTACGACTTTGAAGTCTCCACGCCGCCAAGGTGTTAAAACGTGCCAAGGTGTTAATGTTGAAACACAGCGTTGTTGGAAGTGATATTCAATCAATCAAGTTCACACAATGTATATGGAGTGTTCCGAGTCACGGCCTATCTTTAGGTCTACACTCTAGCCTAGTAGGCTCAGTGGACCGTCACCTAGTAAGTCCGAAAATTTCAC